GGTCATATTTTTTCAAGAATAAGAAAGAAAAAATAAATTTCCTGCTAAAAAAATATAATCCTCATGTTCTTATTAGCCAAAAATGTGAACTTACAAGATTTTTTTTGTTATTGTTTTTGGCCCCCTTATACACTTCATAAATTGCTAGAAGTTAAATAATTTTAATATTTAGAAGGAATATTACTTTGACTGGTGATTTTATTTTATTTTATTTTTTCCCTCCTGCGTTTATGTTTTCTGAGGACAAAAATCTGTAAAACACGAAATAAATTTGATCTGGCCTTAAGGGAATATTATCTTGAACTTCAGGTGTTTCATTAAGATTAATACCAGATAATTACAGGTGTTAAAGGAACTGTAATCAGCTGTCATAGTTGTCCTGTTTGATCTTATACCACCGCTTATCTTTACTTGTTCTGGAAGTTGAGTTGAAATGAAAATTGTACTCAGTGAGTGAGTGAGGGAGTTTAGTTTTACGCTGCACTCAGCAATATTCCAGCTGTATGGCGGCGGTCTGTAAATAATCAAGTCTGGACCAGACAATCCAGTGATCAATAATGATCTGCGCAATTGGGATGCGATGACAAATTGCACTCACTACAACCTTTGGATGTATTGAGCTTTTGAAATATTTTATTTTTGAAATTATTCTTGTTCAAAATATTGTCCTCTTGTTATTTGATCAATGTATAGCCTATTCTTTGAATGTATGCAGTGAGAAATATCAGTATAATATCCCTTAAAAACCCCCTCAGCAGATAATGGTTGAATTGATAGTCGATGGTTGTGTTCTGTTGTCGTAAGATGGGATAAAAAAACTTAATCTAAAATCATGTTTGCAAATGAAACTTGAAAAATGCTTTCTTTGTGTTTTTTTCACAAGTCGATTGTTTTACTCTGTTACAATTCTATTTTGGGTAATGAGAAACAAAGCGCAAAAAATAAGTTCATAATATTTCAGTTTAGAACAGAAAACTGTTTCTTGGTAAATTCCGATGTTTGGGGGTTGTTGAATTAATGAAGAAAATTTACTCACATTTATTTTTCAAAATTCATAGAACACAAATATCAACATCAGGTTGAGAACAGGAATCCAGATGACAAATGTATGATATTGAAAAAATACGGGAAAACCTGTACCACAGACATATGTCTTCAAGAATCAAGAGATAAAAAAGAAACGTAGTGGAAAGTGGTAAAAACAGAGGGGTGTGTAACTTCCGGATGTTCTCAAACCTAACTTGCCAGCGTGGGCAAAAGGACGATTTATTTTGCGGAAAAGAACGCGACTTGTGGTGGCCACATGGGATTACACTGTTCCCGACTTCAGTTCGGCTGAGCTCGAGCAGGATTCTTTCCATGTGTATTTTATTTGTATAGCAGAAAAGGGGATATAATTTCAATTTTTTGCGGGTAGATATAAGGTTCTGGATGTGTAAGTAAAGGATATAGGCAGCTCGGGCCCTGATTCTGAAATGTTAAATACACACGGGGTGTGCAGCTGGCTTGCACATGTGACTCGCCCAGAGCAGGGGAGGGAGGGAAGGAACGGAGGGGGAGACGCACCAACTAGCAGGAAAGCAGCAACTCGGCATTGATTTGTGGCAGGTTTTTGTCCTGGTGTTCGTGAAGTGACGGGACAAGTCGGGACCGAAATAATGTTTTGGCGTCCATTTACAAGGCTTTCAAAATATGGATACCTCAGAATTGAGGTATTAAAGAATTGATTGTGGAACAAATGAGGGCTACAATAATGATTAAGGGCTGATTTACAAAGCAGTGTAAATAGGGATATGGAATGTGTGACTAGCCCTCAGAATTGTGGTATTAATGAATTGCCTGTGGAACAAATCAGGGTTAAAATATTGGTTTAGAGTCCATTTAAAAGGCTTTCAAAATAAGGATGGGAATGGGTGATTAGCCCTCTGAATAGAGGTATTAAAGAATTGCTTGTGGAACCAATCAGGTTTAAAATGATTATGGGTAGAACTCCACAGCATTTATAATAGGAATATGACTAGCCCTCGGAATTGAGTATTAAAGAATTGGTTGTGGGTCAAATACGGGTTTAAATGCTTTGGGGTCCATTTACAAGATTTCCAAAATATGGATAATGACATGTGACTAGCCCTCGGAATTGAGGTATTAAGGAATTGGTTGTGGGTCAAATAAGGGTTTAAATGCTTTGGAGTCCATTTACAAGATTTCCAAAATATGGATAATGACATGTGACTAGCCCTCGGAATTGAGGTATTTAAGAATTGACTGAGGTACAAATCAGGGTTTAAGTAATGTTCTGTTCATTTGCAAGACTTTCAAACTAAGGTTAAGAATGTGTGACGAGCCCTCAGAATTGAGGTATTGTAAGATCAGCATTGATTGCTGTAGTGTTCTTGTATCAAAGAGGGAATAACTAAACTCTCAAGGTAGTTGTCACCTGCCTGGTCATTTAATAGTGCGCATGAATGAATATGATCTAGCCAAACCACACCCAAAGTTTTCTTCCCAGAGATGGGTGAACTGAAGTGATTGTTGATGGCATGAATTGATAACTTTAGTCGGCCATGTTAGGAAATATATGTGTCCTCTTCCTGGGGCTGTATGAGCGAATTGGTTGGTACAAACTGGCCACACAATCAATCTTTCAGTGGCGTGATATATACGACTATTCATCATTGAATGAAATGTGATATAAATAGTCTTTACATTACTATGGTATAAATATGCATTTGTACTGATATTGAATTATTCTCACTAGCTTGACTGATTCTTGAAGTGATGGTGGGACTTCTGGTGCATGTTTGTTTAATATTTTTTAAACAAGAATGTGAAGTCATTTCTTGTATATTTCTGATGTTAAGGATGGGAATCAAAACCGCAGAATCTCTTGATCCCAGAATTTGATAGGTGTGGTAATGCTCTAGTAGTTAAGTTAATTCATGTTTGATCCGGCCAATCATGTTGATCCGTGGAGGTCTGTGGCGCCATGCAAAAGATGTTTAAAATGGTACTTCTTGTTGCCTTGCCTTACACTCAGGGTTAAGGGATAACACAAGGATTGGTTATTTAGTGCTGGTAAACTGACAATGGATTATTCCTGTTTAACTTTGCAGTGTGGGAAATTTACGCTGGTCCTGTGGTCCCTGACTAGTAAAAATTAATCAGGACCACTAAATGATAAGTTTGCAGTGGTCCTGGTGACCAGTAAATTTTTTCCCCATCTAAATGGAAATTAAAATTGTCTTTAAATTAAAAGGTTTGATCGTATATTTTAGCGAGGATTCAACTAAAGTAATACTCGCAAGTCGAAGCGATTACTCAGGATCACTGTAAAAAGTAAATTTAAAAGAAGTTAAAAGTTCAAATGAATATAATAGTATTGATAGTTAAGTAAATCTACGAATGTTATTTTGGACCAGTGAAGTACAGACAGGAACACTAATTATTGTCAACTCACTGGTCCTGTGGTCTAGTGGGAAGTTTTGAAAGGTTTTTAACACTGCTTTTGGCATGTATCTCAGTGGGACGGGATTATCTGACAAAGCCTTACAAGTCTCGTACTCTCTGAACATTATCTCCCCATCCGCCCAGCACTTTCTGCCTTGCTAAAGCCCAAATGAAGCAAGTTTACATTTCCCAGTTCTTAATCTCCCATCTCACAGGGGCTCCTTTCCAATTTCAATGGAATTATTTGTATTTCTCAAAATTATGTACTGAGAGAAACAAATAGGAAAACTCAAGCGTTCCTTTAATATTTTCCAGTTTTCACCACCAGTTTTGAATAGCACAGTGGGAGGAAAGTGGTGTTCCCTTATTTGTTTCCTTCAGTATATATATTCAGAGACCATGTTAGTCTACCACAAGCACATGTATGTCACTATTTAGGTACAATACCCTTGTTCAATGATAAAACCTTATAACTACTTTGAATTAAATTTTAACTCACTTGTATCGTATCTGGGTCTTTGAATCATAGGTTTATCTGATCCAGATCATGCGTAGGCTGCTCAGTTATGTTAACTCAGTTTTTGATTGGCTATATGAGATATGTCAGGTATAAATACACATCAATTTGACACGGGAGAATTCTTTTCAGGTCGTAAAAAGGAACAACAATCATGATCAAAATAGGAGTAAAATATATTGAAAATTGGTGACCAGTTGCAAAATGTTTCCATTCACTCAAGTCTGCCTGTGGTTGAGATAAAACACTGACCTGGGTGTATTGCTTCTTAGCTTACCTGAACTGAAGATAATCGATACTGAGTTGAAATTTTATTTCACGACAGTGTTGAACCTGTCCATCTATGCTATTGATTTCCTATATTTAGTGAGTTGTGGCAAGCCTCCTGCACGCGGACTCCTGCCAGGTTCGCCTGGTCACAGCAGTGTAAAATCTGTTGTTTAGAATCGTGTTTTGTGTAATTTTTCCCCTTTTTTGTCCTGTATGTTTTTCTACAATAAGTGGGTAGTGGGGTAGCCTAGTGGTTAAGGCGTTCGCTTGTCATGCCGAAGACCTGGGTTTGATTCCCCACATGGGTACAATGTGTGAAGCCCATTTCTGGTGTCCCCGTGCTGCGATGTCGTTGGAATATTTCTTAAAGTGGCGTGAAACTGAACTTACTAGATTAAGATATTCCAAACGAAACAAACATCAAGGCATACATGTGAGTTTCTGTGTCTCCTGTTTCAATCTGTGTCATCCGAAAAAAAGTTTCATCAGCAATTGGTGATACATTTGAAATTTAAAGAGACAAGGGTGAACTGTAATCTGCTGCCTGTTTCAGTTTGTTAACAGTAATAATGTCTTAAGTTTAAGGGTAGCCTAGTGGTTAAAGCATTCACTCGTCAACACGAAGACCCGGGTTCGATTCCCCACATGGGTTCAATGTGTGAAGCGCATTTCTGGTGTCCCCTGCCATGATATTGCTGCCAGTCAGTGTAATGCTTTCAAATGTGAGAGAATGCTTATGTTTCATTTTTATATTTTTGTTTTCCAGGGAATGATTGGTGGTAATAATATGCCGTTATCGCCCGACTCCATTGCTTCAGCAAAACCTACAGTTCCGCCTTATTACAACAGTAAACGACCAATGGATGAGTACAACAGAGGTAAACAACCAATCAGATTAAAGCTGAAGCAACAGTTATGTAAAGGGAACAGATGGCAGTTTACTTACAGAGTTGCATACCTTATGTGCGATAGGATCTGAGTATGTGCCTTTATACAAGATTACGATCCTTGCTTTGTTGACATCAATGGATCGAACTTTTACAAATCATTTAAGGCCCTTCTCCCACTTAATGCTGGGAACCCGTTAAGGTCCGGGTTAGACTGAACATTCAGTAACCCCTGCTTGTCGTAAGAGGCGACTAACAGGATCGGGTGTGGTCAGGCTGGCTGACTTGGTTGACACGTCATTGTATCCCAGTTGCACAGATCGATGCTCGTGCTGTTGGTCACTGGATTGTCTGGTCCAGACCGCCGCAATATAGCTGGAATATTGCTGAGTGCGGCGTAAAACTAAACTCACTCACTCACTCACTTCATGCTGGGACTGAGGAATAGACATGTCATATTGCTTTTATGAACTTTTATTAGCTTGCGCTCTGGCTAGCGAACATGATGGTCACATGATAGAAGCTTGGTTAATGTCCACACTATTGATGTTTTAAATATCTGGTTACTTTAATCACAGTTAGTCAACTTTTCCATGACAAAATCCATGTTTGGGTCAGTTGACTACATTGTACGATGAACATAATATCAACAGCTGGTTCATGTCTTGTCCAGCTGGAGTACCACTGACTGTGGCATTGAACATCGTTCACTCACTCACTCCATTGATGGGGCGGTGGGTAGCCTAGTGGTTAAAGCGTTCGCTCATCACGCCAAAGGCCCGGGTTCGATTCTCCACATGGGTACAATTTGTGAAGCCCATTTTGTGGTGTCCCCACCGTGATATTGCTGGAATATTGCTAAAAACGGAGTAAAACCAAACTCAGTCACTTCACTGACCTGACAGTTGAACATATGTTATATTTGGGATTACAATTTCTCAGGTTCTAATACATTTGGGGTTTTGTCTCATTATAACCCGTGAAGATCCGGGTTAGAATTGCTCTTCAGTAACCCCTGCTTGTTGTACGAGGCGACTAACGGGATCGGGTGGCCAGGCTTGTCAACTTTGTTTACATGTCATCATATCCCAATTGTGTAGATCGATGCTCATGATGTTGATCACTGGATTGTCTGGCCCAGACTCGATTATTTACAGACCGCTTTCATATAGCTGGAATATTGCTGAATGTAGCGTTAATCAACAAACCAACAATGAGTCTCATTATAGACATTTGTTTGCTTTCTAAATGGCATTGTGTATTCACGACTTGACAATTTGTATGTAAAAAGAGTGTAAGTAAATAACACAATGACAATTTGTCTTTGGCAGGTCGACCTACAGGAAAATTCACCCCTCCTGATCATGGGAAAAGGCGAAAAACTGGTGTTGTGAGTAGACTTTAGTGTTCATTAATTTCCTTTCAGGCACTCATAAGTTCGGACCCATAAAGGTCCGGGTTAGAATTGATCTTCAGTAATCCATGCTTGTCGTAAGAGGCGACTAACGGGTTCGGGTGGTCAGGCTCGCTGGCTTGGTTGACACGTCATCGGTTCCCAATTGCGCAGATCAATGCTCATGCTGTTGATCGCTGGATTGTCTGGTCCAGATCCGATTATTTACAGAGCGCCACCATATAGCTGGAATACTCCTGAGTGCGGCGTAAAACTAAATTCACTCACTCATTCACCATAAGTTCGGGTATGAACTGATCTTCAGTAACCCATGCTTGTTGTAAGAGGCGACGAACGGGAATTAGTGGTCAGGTTCGCTGACTTGGTTGAAGCATATCATCGTATCCCAACTGCGAATTCATGTTCATCATATTGATCACTGGATTGTCTGGTCCAGATTATTTACAAACCGCTGGAATATTGCCCAGTGCAGGGTTAAACAACAAACATATAAATGTTCGCTAGCCAGACAATGTTTGAGGCCACTCTGGTCACATTGTGGTAACACCTGTTGTTTTTCAGATCTGCGTTATGTTGAGACTTATAATGTGATTTATATCTTGTGGATTAATGCCTTTAAAGCTGGGATGTTAATGGTGATGCATGATGCTGACTTGCCCTCTCACTGAGGGATACGAGTTGTCTCCCTTTGTAGTGACAGGATCCAGTCGCTTAACTGCTGTGATGTAATTGAAATATTGAAAGCAGTGTTAACCTTATTCACTTACCTTTGATCTGATAATCTACTTAGTTGGTTTTTTTTTATAAATTTAAATCTATTTAGGTATTGTTCTATAAATTTGTACTTTTGTTTGACTATTTTGTGTTGTCTTGTGATTGATAACAAGTTTGATCCTTCTGAACCACTGTGTCTGTGTTTGACTCCAGGAAACCCAAATTGGTGGGGTATTGGGTAGGGTGTTTACTCATGTTGGAGACCTAGGTTCATTTCCCAACAATGGTATAGTGTATGTCCCATATTGTCATATTGCTTACACTGGGTGAGGAACATGTAAAGGTCCGGGTTACAATGAACCTTCAGTAACCCATGTTTGTCGTAAGAGGCAACTAACAGGATCGGATGGTCAGGCTCGCTGACTTGGTTGACACACGTCATCGGTTCCCAATTGCGCAGATCGATGCTCATGCTGTTGATCACTGGATTGTCTGGTCCAGGCTCGATTATATACAGACTGCCGCCATATAGCTGGAATATTGCTGAGTGCGGCGTAAAACTAAACTCACTCACTCACTTTCTGTGGAGTTAAGTTTTGAATTTGTTCACAGCACTCGCCACTGGCCTAAGAAGCAACTAAATGGATTGGGTTGTCAGCTTGCAATATCAACCACTGGATTTTATGACCAAGACTTGATTATTTTCAGGCCAGTGACGTGTAGCCGGAATATTTCTAAAATGTGTTAAACGAGACACAAATAGAAACAAAAAATTGCTGAATATGTACATTAACAAATTTTTGTTAGCCACGCTGAAGACCCAGGTTCGATTCCCCACATGGGTACAATGTGTGAAGCCCATTTCTGGTGTCCCCCGCCGTGATATTGCTGCAATATTGCTAAACGTGGCGTAAAACCCAACTCACTTTCTCACTCTATAAGAAAGAGCGAGAAGATTTTTGCATTTAACAGAAGCACTGGTAGGCTGGTCAGTAGTGTTGCTGCAGGGCTCACCAGCCCTTAAGGCATGAGTTTGAATCCACATCTGTCCGATATGGAACTAGTTCAATCTTTAATTGTTGAAATGATGCACATCAGATCAGACACCCTTGTTCGTGAGAGTTGTCAATGAATCTGGGATTTATCTGGCATACGGAATGAAGTGGCTGTGTCAGGTCCTGGGAAAAAAATTTTCTGTCCTTTTTTTTAAGTTTGGAGATTTATTGAGAGTATGTCAAAACATGTAATAAAAGCCTTTTCTAATAGTTGGTCCTGTTAGTTTTATAGTAATTATTCTAAAATGACACTTTATATCATTCTCTATTATAATTTAGGGGGGGAGGAACTATTTCAGGTGTTTGGTGTAGTACTGGGCCTCATTTTGGACACAACTGCTGAAAAATCCCTACCAAATGGCGGGATACATGTAAATGTTTGATGTTGAGAAACTTGAGAGCCAGCTAGCTTTGTCACCTCATCACGTCACATTCTTATTCTAATATATGGATACGTTCTGTCAGCCAAAACTAAAACTAATTCTGGGAGTTGTTGAAATGGAAGTGTTGCTGCTTCAGTGGACTGTGGCTAAACCATGATAATATATTCCGTATATCCTTCCTGGTGAATATGACTGGAGAATATTCCAAAGAAATTTATGACATTTGTGAACAATGGTTGTGGAAGCCATTTTCACAACGCAGACACATACAGTACCTATATGTATGGCTAGATGTATAGGATTCATGAACTGAAATCCTAGCTGACTTGCTGTTGTCCAGACATTGTTATAATAAATCTTGTCCTACCAAGCCAACTGCTTCACCTACAAACTTATGATAAACATTGTAATAAAACAAAGACGATTTTCTAAATATTCCAGTGGTTATTGATCAAGCTTTAGAAACACACTTTATGTTCTCGAGGCTGTTTAATATATTTTGCCTGGCTTGTAATTATCTTCAGTGCCTATTGTCCTATCTATCTGCATCAGCCAGTCACAGTCCACACACCTGTTGCATACGCTAGTCAATATACCTGACAGGGCAACAGATGTGTGCGTTTCTATTGTTCCCCAAGCATGAATACTCCAACAAATATCGGTAGTCAATACCAATAGGGCTAGCCCTTTCTGTGTTGTACTTCAAACGGCATTTTTCGATTGATTCATAGACTGAGTAGTTTGAAACTGATCTGAGAGAAAAATGACTGCATATTGATCCGGGTATTCATTTCATTGTCATAAAGTTCGGGTTTTCTCTGCCCCCAAATGAAGATTTGCATTGTGCGACTAGCGTGATCGGCTTCCGATGTGCCTGTAGATTAATGTAGTTTAAGACGAGGCTGGTCTTTTCAACAAGTGGCTGGACAATAATAACAAAGCTGTTGCCAGCGACCCACCCGGACACACTCCACTAGGGGTTGTAATTGTTGATACAACATATTGTGTTGTGCTTCGGTAGTTGGAGAACTACTGCTGGCTAATTGCGGAGGAAACAGGACCGTCCTTCCTGAGGACACCCTCTGTTGAGATCAGGACATTGCTGGATTTATGTCTATCCGTGGGATCTTTGGATGTGAATTTGATATTTTTTGTGTTTTTTTTTTATTGATGCAGAAAGGTGAAATCCGAAACTGGCTCCCTTCCTTGCTGAAGACATTGTGTTGACGTAACAGGATTAACACTGGGACTTATACATGTGAATTTGAGATATATTTTTTTAATATTTTTTCGGATGCTACACAAAGCTTTCTGAAATCAGATCAGGAAACAGGCCTTTTCATTTGATAACATTTTTGTAAGGAGTTGTTACACAACAGGAGACAGGTGGGTTGTTCCAGTGCCCAGGAGGTCCCGTAAAACGTTTGGATCATGAGAAGGTCTTTGTTAATCCATGAATTGGCCCTCAGGCTCGATCTGATTGCTTGACATTCGCACCAATATTGAGAGCACCAGGGCTGTGGACGAGGCGAGGTGACCTGTTCCTGGATGTTCAAGAGCTGAAGATCAAGTGTGTACTTCCATGTACAGCATACAGCACTGTTGACAGACAAGTGGATCCCGTCACTTTGTTGACCTTGCACAGAAGGAAGACGATTCTGGAAGTCAAACTTGTTGCGCATTTTGAAGGGAATTCGAAAGGACATCAGTTCAACTAACCTCAGGTGTTAATGCATGGAGGAAACATTTGACAAGTTTCGCTGACCTAGGAACCGGCATGTTGAGGACCTGGATTTGTTCAAATGGACAAACAGCAAGAACATAATTGAAAAAAGGTGTGCATATTATTAATCTTGATATAATCTCTTTTATGAGCTTGAATATAAGTTTTAATGTTGATCATAATGTTAACAGTCCTGTTAACTCAGTGTCAGTATTGAATAGCAAGATGTAGAAGGTCATACAAATTCATGTTTGCATTCAAAAATAATTCTTCAGGGCAGCATGTTAATCTCAGCTTATGTGGAGGTCTCTGAACCCGCCCCTGCTGCACAGGATGTGACTTCATTTAAACCCCAGTTGGGTGATACAAAGTTATATCACAAACTTGTTACGGATGTATAAAGCAATTGGATTTAGACGTCTCCTGCTGTTTCAGCTGAATTGCCATGGTTTTCTTCTTTGAAGCACTGCTGTGTTGAGATACTAATTAAACGTCTCTGATGAATTAATACGATGGGACTGCATCGCTGATACTAAGATAATTAGGATGATACTGATAACGAAGATGGAATTTGAAGTTCAGTGGTAGTAATGCATTAAATATCACCACGAGGGCTTTATACCTAACATTTAGCTGGAGATAAAAAATACAAACAAAAAATTTCTGAAAATGTCTACATATTGTATTTATGTTGATAGGCATGCAACAAGTAGGCCACAACTGTGGAAACTTAGCTGGAGCCAGTATCGGTTAAAAACATATCCCAGTTTTTATCCGAGATGCTTCCTATGTAGCTGATAGGTATTGTTATGCTAACGGGGCCGTGCATTGTTACCTTGAGCTGGTACAACTAGTAATATTGATGGGTGGCAGACATGTTGAATTTTCTCAAACCATATGGCGCAGTTGAAAAATACAATTGTAAACCTTTAGCTTTGGGGACAGGGACTTTGGAGATAATATATTCTCTCAAGGTAGGAGATGTTTTTTGAAAACAATTGTATGCTTTTTAATATTTTTTGGTATTTTCTTCCTGTTTGGGTTAATTAATTTTAATTCATTATATCATTATTGTGATTCACTGAGACAATTCTGAATTTT